CGATGACAACAAATCAGGTGGCAGCAGCACAGTGTTTGTTAAAGTCAGCGTGGATGGTGCACCTTACCTCCGTAAAGTGGACTTGAAAATGTACCAGAGCTACCAACAACTATATGATTCCTTAAGCAAAATGTTCAGCTCATTCACCATTGGTAAATAAATATTTATAAACATAGGAAATTAATAATATTCTTTCAACATTATCGCAATATATTTAATCAACATTTTATATCTTTAAGGCCTAACAGAAAATCGTTGCGCTTGATGTTAGGTAATTGTGGTTCTCAAGGACTAAAAGACTTTATGAATGAGAGCAAATTGATTGACCATTTGAATGGTTCTGATTGTGTACCTACTTATGAAGACAAAGATGGAGATTGGATGCTTGTTGGTGATGTTCCATGGGAGTAAGTTGTTCCTACATTTTCTAGTTTCTTCTGTTTGCTTCGTATTTTTATACAGAGTAATTATCAAAATTTACCTCTGTGAATAACAAACACTTAACGCATACTTCTTTTCTAACCAGGATGTTTGTTGATTCATGCAAACGCATACGAATAATGAAGGGTTCAGAAGCCATTGGACTAGGTATTGCCCTATAACTATTGGACTTAAAGCATGTTTGGGATACTTGATGATGAAATTGAACAAAAGTAGACAAGATTGGTGAAACTGTTTAGTCCTTGTCTAGTCGAGCGTACCTCACATGCCCTTAAAGCATGGCAACTCGACATGGACATGCCTGGTAAAATTGTTATAATTCTTTTATCATTGTAAAGCAAATTAAACACAATTGATCTGACTTTATTTACTTGAAAGCTAAACTAAAGAAACGTACTCTTTTGAATTCCAATGCAGCACCAAGAACAGTTCAAAGGTGCAAGAACAGATGCTGAAACTGTTTCCTGCAAATCTTTCGCCATAGTTCCCACTTCCCAGCATAGTTCCCAACATGGACGATCGGATGATGGCTGGATCGAGTGGGACCAAGCCTAATGATTGATCATGTCTATAGTTCTGTTTGACCAGTATATATATATATATACTGTTTTTTTAAGGAAAAAAATTGCATGTTTGAATCCAACTCGAACGTCTTTAGGTTGTCCGCGACAGCCTTGTTGGAATAGTTTTTGTTAGCATGCAATAGTGTGTTTATTCTCCACAAATTCGGTTTCCCCCTTCTTATTTTGTTATGCAGATCCGCTTCGGGTATCATGTCTCTTATAATTAATGAACTGTTGATTATCATGCAAACATTTCATAGGTGCACTGTTGGAAAAAAATAAATTAATTAAATTGAAAGACTGATTTTGGCATAGATTTTGAGTGGGACCTGTTTTTTTATTTTGGAAGATCAAGGTTGATTTGTGTTCTTTCCCGTGAGAATATTGAAATTATATATATATTTTTTAAAAATAATGTTCGGGTGAATGAAAAACTGGAGCTCAAAGTGATGCATTGAAAAATATTTTATGTTGGAGGAAAAATAATTTAAAGTTATCTCATCTAGCAAAATAAATAAAGGCAATGACCACTTTAAATATGATTATACTTTAGAATGGTGTAATCATGTGTATATAAATGCTCTCTTCACGTATGCGCACGGGAGTGCAAATCACGGATCGAAATATGATTCTGATCTTGAATTTGTATGCAGACGTGAATTGTGTATTCGAATGGACCAAAAATTGACCCTTAGAAAGGTCCATGTTTTGTCTTAGTTTTATATTTTTTCAAATAAAACAAACTTTCAAATTCTTGTAACTCCTGAAACTTGTGATTATGTCTGTGTTAATTGAGAGATTAACAGAAGAGTTAATGGCATAACTCATGGCATGTTAATTCCTTATTACAGAACTTCAAACACCTACGATAAAAAGGCAAATTTGTTTTAAGAAAATTGTGCTCACACAAATCTCGATTTCAAAGTTCATTCGCTCTTTGAATTGATTATTATAAATCCAAGTACATTAATTAAAACCAACGAGTCTATTGGAATATGAAGTTGAGCTATATAAATGTATACCAAAATTGGATAAAATGATCATTGTCTAAATGCACCTAATCCAATTAATAAAGAATAGAATAGAATTTTAAGTAATCAATTATTTCACTACGAAATTTTATTTAGAAATGTAATACCACTGAAAGAAAGCGGTAGAGCACCCCCAATAATTATGTTCATGTAATGTATTGGAGATGCTCTTAGTTAGATGTCAAATTACTTGTCTCCTATGATACAACTGATACAATTTGTGGTAGAAGTACTTAAAACCACAAGAAACAGCGAACTCTGACAATTTTTCCTCTATACAAGAAAATAGTTTTTGAATTATGTTTGGAGAGTTTTTGCAAGAGATTTTGATGTAATGCTCAATGTAAATGATATGAGATGTATAATGGACATCCAAAGAGTCATATTTATAAAAAAAGAGAGGTTATGAGTGAAGAGTTTCGCCCCAAAACTCAACAACCTTCAAGAAGGAAAGCATTCCTTGTTGTCATTACCCTATTGTTGGCATTTCGCTCGAGCGCCAATGACACCTGTTCAATAGAACCTATTTCGCCCGTCTGTCGCTAGTTTATCGCTCGAGCGAGAATCTCACCGTTCGAGCGCTAGGCGAGCGGTAGAGTTAGGCAAAATACCGATCAACTTTTCCCTCTTTTCTTTCCAATTTTGGACCACAATTTCTCATTCATCCCGATTTGATTTTGAAATTCCAAATATACTACGACAGGTAGAACAAGTTAGTCTATTTAATTTTATAATCTAATCATCGGATAAAGTTCCAACATGCTTTGCACTTTACGAAATCATTTTTCAAGTTTTATATTTAACCAAATTTTCCATCGTTCAACCAAATTCCAACATGCTTTGCACTTTATCAGTTC